CATCGCGGTCGTGTTTACACTTACTCCATCACATGCACCGTCAATACCTCGCGGTCGTGTTTACACTTACTCAATCACATGCACCGTCAATACCTCACGGTCGTGTTTACACTTACTCAATCACATGCACCGTCAATACCTCACGGTCGTGTTTACACTTCCTGCATCACATGCACCGTCAATACTTCACAGTCGTGTTTACACTTACTCCATCACATGCACCGTCAATACTTCATACGGTCGTTTACACTTACTCAATCACATGCACCGTCAATACTTCACGGTCGTGTTTACACTTACTCAATCACATGCACCGTCAATACCTCGCGGTCGTGTTTACACTTACTCCATCACATGCACCGTCAATACCTCGCGGTCGTGTTTACACTTACTCCATCACATGCACCGTCAATACCTCGCGGTCGTGTTTACACTTACTCAATCACATGCACCGTCAATACCTCACGGTCGTGTTTACACTTACTCCATCACATGCACCGTCAATACCTCGCGGTCGTGTTTTACACTTACTCCATCACATGCACTGTCAATACCTCGCGGTCGTGTTTACACTGCATACATGCACCGTCACATTTGAATCACATACCTCACGCTCGTGTTTACACTTACTCCATCACATGTCAATACTTCACCGTCAATACCGTCACGGTCGTGTTTACACTTACTGCATCACATGCACTGTTTACACTTACAAAACTTGGGTCGTGTTTACACTTACTATTTTCTGTTTCCACCGTCAATCGTGTTACACTTACTGCATCACATGCACCGTCAATTTTCACGGTGAATTTCATGCTGTCAAATCAATGTTTGCATCAAAACCGTAACGGTTCGATACCATACGTGTCGTGTTTTCATAGACTAAACCCAGCCGCAGCGCTGCGATCGCTTTGTGAAACGCAACCCTGTACGCTGCAATGAACCATGCCTTCTTTATCTGTCTACGCTATAACTGATGGGCCACGATATTCCTTTCACTGCAGATCCGCCCAGTAATGAGTTCGATATTTACAATAATCCAACATCCATAATTTTCTCGTGTAAATGGTAAACAGCCTTGTGGATCTACATATGAATATTCCGTACAGCACAATCCATAACACCTCTGCCCCTCAATTTAATTGGCCATCAAGAACACAACCCAAAATCACTAATTAGATTACAATCTATCAAACTGCACATTCATATCAAGATGATAAGTTTTTTTTCATAACGGTAATTTGAGATTAATAAACACGCAATCGATACACAAACTACTTCAAATCAACAATTACATACACACACCACACAATAAAATGTCAAAAATCGAAGGGTGGCTGTTTTTTCACACCGGTAATGCTTATATTTTAGGTCCGCTTAACCGAGTCTGAAAAGGTGATCGATGACCAGTGTCCGCTGGTTATACTGTGGTATTATGTATTTTTTCAAGATTGTTTGGTGCAATAATTACATGAGATAAATGTATGAATAATATCAAATCACCGTTATTGATTAAATCATTTGTTTGATTGGCGTGCAGTGGTATTCATGCTATCCAGCACTGGTTTGTGTGAGTGAGTGAGTATGTTTTACGCCGCTTTTAGCAATATTCACGCAGAATCACGACAGGGGACACCAGAAATGGGTTTCACGTTTTACACATGTGGGGAATCGAACACGGTGTTACGAGCGAACGCTTTAACCACTATGCTACCCCACCACCCGGTTTGTCTGGGACAGGCTAGCTTACAAGTCTGTAACGGTGCCACATTCGCTTAATCCCCCAAATTTAATATAGCTGACAAGCATTTTTACGTGCATTTCGTATGTTACGTTTACAGCGTGGGTGAATGTTGGTTTAAACCGCAGTCAACAATATTGCTGCTATAACACGGCAGTGTGTGACGAATCGAATTTGGTTACGACAAATCAATAGTTAACAGCACGAATAATGGCCCATTTCGGCAGGGTATCATCTTGCCACATCACCAATGACAATCATGCGATCCCCATTCGTGTTACCCTTTAGATAACGAGACCGCCTCCGTGGCGTGGTTAGAGCGTCAGTGGTTAGAGGAAGGTCGCGGGTTCGATCACCGACCGCATCATCATACCAAAAGACGTTAAAATATGGTACTTGTTGGTTCCTGCCTGGCGCTCGGCATTAATGGGTACAACAAGGACTGATCGCCTCGGAGTCAGTATAATGTGTCTGAGTGGGGTATTCATGCTTCACTGCGGCATGGTATCTCAGTGGGCTAGCACTATAAAACCAGCTTCAGTCTGGGCTAGTACAAGCAGCCGCACATACACATACACACGCATGCACGTCATCATATGAGCGAAAAATATTCTCAAGCACGACGTTAAACCCAATTTCACCTCACCTTTAGATAACGATGGGGTATGAATTGGGACACATTGGGACCCACTCTGCTGGTCGGTATCCCCACCATCCCCACAGAAAAGACGAAGCATCCCCTGAGACCTGATAACTCCACTGTGTTGCACTTATCATTCATCCACACTTTGTTCACAAGATTTATGTGGTTCGTTTCCTAGAAACAACCTAAAGACACAGGCCTACAATATTTACATAAACATTAATGACATGCCTTTAATACACAACAGCCCCGCAGTCAGCTATAGAAAGATGGACTCTATTTTACAGACGTAGACGGCTAGCCTTGCTCCAAGTCTCTGCGGAATAATAAGTCCAGAGATGTATGGTAATTCTACAAGCTCACAGTTCATCTGAAGAGGTTCCTGTCTTTTAAATGGGTATTTTGGTCTCATTATGTACTTTATCTAGGTATTATTATAACTAAGAATCATGGCCTCAGATTGTGTACAAGTCTAGTATACTGCCTGTGGAATACCTAATAATTTGCCCGAATCAGTATATTTAGTCACTTTTACTTCAGGTTTTCATTCATTCATTTATTTATGTTTTGTGATTTTTGGATTTCGGACGTTTTTCTGGCAAACACAATTTTTACCACATACTGCTCTTTTGAAATGCTATGACATGTTGCTCAGATGACGTTAAAGATCTTTTTCATATAATAGTTACATGATAGATTAAAGGTCACATGCAACCAAAAAATCAAACATAATTAAAACACAATTATCACTTATTCATGACATATAATATACATTGCTGGTTATGAAAAAACATAGAAACAAAATTATAAGCGTACAATCGCAAATCAAAAGTGCAATATTGTGTACTTCGGTTTACTTCCCAAGAAACGAAGAAGCCGGGATACCGAACCCAGTCAGAGCGGGTGGGTGTGCACTCAAGTGTAACGGCTGGTTCAGTTGCAGATGCCTTCACGGCTAATTGTGTGTATATATAGAGAGAGAGATGTTGGGTTTTGTAAATACATGCTCATTTTTTTGTGTATAACATTTTGCAATCAACAGACATCATAACATGTCATGTGTTCAAGTATCACACCTGCCTGTCTGTGTAATTACATAATGTGACAGAGACCGAACTCGGGCCATAAATCAATGCGTTTTGTTTATTGTGTATAGCCTGATTGGTGTTAAGTTCAAATCGCTTGTGGTCAGTGATAGCAGCTGTGTATTGAATATTGTCATTAGCAGACAGGCAGGCAGACACACAGGTGTCAATAAAACAAGACATTGAGTTTTGTCTGTGACAACGACATATCTATATCACAGTTAGAAATTCTGTCAACGCTAAATAGTGACATTGCTTTTAAGTATCGAACTGAGAAAGTTTCTCGGTAAGAAGAACGTGTGGTGAAATAGACAAATGAAATTATATAAACAGTTAATTTACTGTCATAACATATAAAAAAGCTCGCGCCTGTGAGAAATTAACAAAACATTAGAATAAGTAGCTCACACCAAAGCCTTCACCGAATATTTACCCGACAACCGCTTCCAAGCTGCGCGAACCTATTTACTTGCGCACGTGCTATGAGCGCAGCCCAGCTGTTGAAACCCGTTTTCCCCAGAAAAGTCTGGGGAAATTTAGTGAAACGTTTGAACTCCGATTTCGCGCGTTTTTTTTCATCGCCTTATTTTTCAACTTTATAAGTTGAATTTGCATTTTTGACGATTTGTTTCGGTATGTCCATACCGAAAGGTATCAGAATCTGCAAAGTTGTGTTTTACGTTGCATGTGACCTTTAAGTAATCCGGCGTTCCTCAATTCATTTGAGTACTATATTTTCGTATATTGGTCTAAAAACACTTTTATGTTAATCTCGTTCAAAGAGACAATACTTAGTTAAAGCTCGTTATCATGTTCTTATTGTGAATGGAGTGAGTGAGTATGGTTTTACACCGCTTTTAGAAATATTTCATCAATATCACCGCGGGGGAAACCAGAAAAGGGCTTCACACATTGTTCAAATGTGGGAATTCGAACCCCGGGTCTTCTGCGTGACGGGCGAACGCTTTAACCACTAGGCTAACCTGAATGGACTTGGGTGGGGACTACGTGTCGTCGATATATGGCTGAAATAATGCTAATACAACGCTAAATTGTAACTCACTCACTCTTATTGCGCAGATCGATGCTCATGATGTCAATCACTGGAATGTCTTGTCGAGTCTCTATTACATAAACAACAAACAAACAAAGCGAGACAGCAGCCATTCTATAATGGGGAATACATCGAACAATGAATCTCTCTTTGACATACTATATCTAATCGTGTAATTGAAACGTTACGATAAATCATATCTCCAAATTACAAGTGTACGGCTTTGCCTCAGACACTGATTTCATTTCAGTTATTTAGGTCACCGGGTAAACACGACACCAGTGTTTCGAGTCCGCTTCATATCTACACCCCCACGGAGCGTAACTCGCCACCGAATATGATAAACTTGCCTTGGGGGTCAGGCGGTGCCGATTTCAAGATACCAGACAACGCACCGACCAATCAGAGTTGGCGTTACAACGCCCTCTAGGCTCTCCAGAGCGTCCCTTGCAACGCGACAAGCTCATAACATGCGTAAGGTGGAACTGAGAGAGACGCGATACGGGCCGTCATTACTTCATGTATGGGACTGTGTATCCGTGCAGTTTAATGACACCATAACCCTCTCCATGTCTAGTCAATGATGACTTTTGTGAGAAAAAGAACATTATATTCAACTGGTGATAGAAAATAACAACTTTGTGGATTTATCGTATTTTTACCCAAAAAATACAAAAAGATGTTTATTATTGTTAAATACGGCAATAATGAATCACTACTATGCAACCCCAGCTGTGCCGTGATCAACTTGCTGAACAGTATAAAGAAGCGTGCAGGGTATGGAAATACTGGCCTGACATTGGATCTATCAGACGAAACAGGTATGGTTTTTTCTTGCACACATGTTCACACAAAGCTGGTGTCACGTATATCCTTACGTGGCTCCGTTGCAGCTAAGCCGATGGATTACTGTAATCCGTAGTGCATGTCCCGGTAAGAGTGTAACAGCCAGCGTTTTATTTGACCTGCACTTAATACGCGTGCTTTATGCGAGGACTGGAAGCTCTTGACTTAAGAGCGAGCCAGCTGACGTAAAGCGATCAGTCACATTTGACGTAAGTCGTCAATCAGCGGTATGAACATAAAGGTTGATCGGGTTAATGTGTCCCGACCACACACGGAGATTCGCGACAATAGCTGGACAATTCGTGTGTTACACGAAATTATTTGCATTACCCGGATTTTATAAGCTGGTCATTGGTATTAACGATTGTGATCCGTTCTCTGACTAATTCTCATACAATATATGTATATTTTGAAAGTGTATGATTGAAATTGTATAACACGACGTTTCTGGTCTACTTCTTGCCCCTTGTTCAGGTGAGTGTCGAGTACTTTACACTTTGACCAGTCTACCCTTAAAGCCATTACCTGAAACGTTAGCCATACATAATGCATGAAAGAATATTTAGTTCTCGTATAAACATGACTGTTTACTGTTAGTTTCTACAGTTCCCGTCAAACAATGGTTAAAATCTTTGTGGTGACCCATCCGTGGAGAAATCACTACCGTTGCTCTCTCATCCATGTCTCGCACCAAGCACTGCCTAGCGTTGCTTGTTCCTTCTTGGGTCCTGGGTGATCAAAGGGGAATAGATTACACACTTAATCATCTATCGGTGTGCTGCATGGGCGAACCTGCCGTCAACCCTGTGTCCCCACGATCCATTTCCATTGACGTTGAAAGGGAATACAGAAATATCAATATACATGTATATTGGCTTCATAAATTATAAATGTTCTCAGTTTAAGTTGTAGTATTAATTTCAAAGTATGTATTTGGTTATTAAAGCATTCTATTTTGGAATATTATCGCTGTTGGATCGATATTAAAGGTATTAAATTTCACCCTACTTTTTAATAAGTAATGTTGCACGTATAAACACCGTGGGATTTCTGGTAGACGACTCTGTAGGTATACCGCCATCGTGGAATGTTTTACTCAAATATGTTGAGGACCAACCGATTCTCCCATTACTAAAGGTAATGTCGTGGCAGATTACATATTGCTGTCATACCAGATTAACTATGACTGCCATGACAGATTAACTGTGACTGTCATAAGAGATTAACTTTGACTGTCATAAGAGATTAACTTTGACTGTCATGGACTATGACTGTCATAAGAGATTAACTTTGACTGTCATAAGAGATTAACTTTGACTGTCATAAGAGATTAACTTTGACTGTCATGGCAGATTGACTATAACTAACATACCAGATTAACTGTGACTGTCAGACAGATTAACTATGATTGCCGTAACAGATTAACTGTGAATGCCATAAGAGATTAACTTTGGCTACCACGACATATTAACTACGAGTGCCATGACAGGTTAACTGTGACTCATCAGACAGATTAACTATGACTTATATGACAGATTAACTATGACTGTATGACAGATTAACTGTGACTCATATGACAGATTAATTGTGACTTATATGACAGATTAATTGTGGCTCATATGACAGATTTACTGTGGCTTATATGACAGATTAACTATGACTTATATAAAAGATTGACCCTGTAAGAATATGAAAGAACACCGTGATCTTATGTTTTGTAGTATACAACATATGTTATATAAAATATAAACCGAACAATCGAACGAACCAGACACACACAGCAAATGAACAATCTATGAAACGTTTATTAACGAGACATAATCGGTTCGCAAAACCAAAACGCCAATACTTTGTATACGATTACACAGACACTAGTTTAAACAGTTCCACCAGCTACACATCACCTAACATTATCCATCCTAGAAATGGATGCCCCAAACGATTAAACACATGACATAGGTACGACCATTCGTAACTACTCGTGTCATTCCGGCAAGCCGGATGGCGTCTTCTTGTAGGTGACGGAAAGAGGCGAGTAGTTACGAATGAGGTACGACCACAGACCATGTAATAGTCTATTATATGGTCTCTGGTACGACATGGTAGACTTCATCCAATCATTGAACACTGTCTCCCACAGTCAAATGATGCTTTCTATACGATTCTAACAGTAAACGAGTTACATCACCGCGTGTCAGCTTCATGGTGGAACAATAGTCGAGCCCGCACCAAACAATCCAATGATCAACAGCATGAGCATTGATCTACGCAATTGGGATACGATGACTTGTGTGAATCAAGACAGCGAGACTGACCACCCGATCCCGTTAGTTGCCTTTTATGACAAGCATGGATTGTTGAAGAACAATTCTAACCCGGATCTTCACGGGTCTGCAAGTATTATGCCCCACTTCTCAGTTTTCACGGAACCAAGCAATCGTTTGGTCAATATCTAAAGTAGTATTTAAAAAGCAGCTTGCTACAAATGACAATTTAAAAAGCCCAAATTATCAGTAATACGAGCAAGAATTTCTCCCCATTTCAACTAGTACGAATTTATTAAAAGGTCGATGCAGCAATACCTGCCAATGCGTGAGTGAGTGAGTTACGCCGCTTTTAGCAATGTTCCAGCAATATCACGGCGGAGGACACCAGAAATGAGCTTCACACATTGTACTCATGTGGGGAATCGAACCCGGATCTGCGGCGTGACGAGAGGCACTTTAACCACTAGGCTACCCCACCGCCCCGCTTTAACTGAGCAGTGCATGTTAATGCAAATCTATTTGACACACAGGTGGCGATTATAAACTGATAGGTCTACCCTGAGTGTATATCAAGGAGCCGAAATCTACCAGCTGTAGAATTCCAATCTATCACAGTAAGCCACTTCCATTGTTATCATTTTGTTTTTATCAAAGACAACTTTCTTATCAGAACGTCCTCCAACACACCCACATAGACTGACATATGAATAGTGTCATATTATTGCCTTGGTCGTGTCACCGGTCTATCCATCAATGCTGAGTGATATAATGCCGGTTTGTTGAATATGTCACTGGGGCCTCGAGACACATAAAGAAACCAATATCTCTCCAGTACCAAGCACAATAGACCATCGGCAATCTTGGAACAAATCAGGGACTTACTTAATCGATAGTATTGATCGATATTGATCTACATTGAGTTTCATTGACCTACATATTATTCCGAAGCCAAGGCTGGTCATTCTGTGGCCATTACCATCTTGTCAAATATATGAATCATTAACTGATTTAATATAGACAAGGCTTATTGGTTAAGATTATTGAGCATGTGCCTGAACTGCAAGATGTACGTCAACCATAGACTTAACCACGTTATAAATGATTATCAAATATAGAGCCAAATATGAAAGAAGAGCGGATAATAATCCCCTATTCCATTAGACGCCACTTACGACAAGGACAGGATGCTGAAGACCGAGATCTTACTCGGATCTGAACAGGTGGACTCGCTTTAAGTCACAGCATGTTTGTATGAGATTAACAATGGTTTGTGTTGAGACAAATACACGTGAAATATAATATTTGACACCTCTGAATCTACATTTATGTGCATGTATTTCCAAACACTACGATAATAAATAGAAAACAAATGAAAAATATTATCTTTACAAATAGGTATGAAAAAATCACACTTAAGAAATATATGACAGTGTTACCAAGGCTGAAGACTTTAACATGTGGTTGTTATGGTAACGACGCACAGAAACTGTTACACTTCTTATCATGTTTCAGATAGCACATAACTATTTCTCCAGTTTTGAGTCGCTTTGGTGTCCAGTTATATACGTGGTTGGTAATTAGTTTAAATAAGCAAGCGCTGCTATGTAAATGTATTGTTCCTCTGCATGGTTTTTATGGTATACAGGGGACGGTGGGGTAGCCTAGTGGTTAAAGCGTTCGCTCGTCACGCCGAAGACCCGGGTTCGATTCCCCACATGGGTACAATGTGTGAAGCCCATTTCTGGTGTCCCCCGCCGTGATATTGCTGGAATAGTGCTAAAAGCGGCGTTAAACTATACTCACTCACTCACTCTTATGGTATACAGTAAACTATTTTTATGACGAACTGACAGATATAACGAATAAGTTCGGACACATAGTTACTTTCAAAACATTTTTTTTATCCAGCATCATGTTTGGAACCTCACAATTCGCTCACACAGTTTTAGGTGAATCATACTGCAATTTTAACACGAGTCACAAAACATGATATTGATTCAATACTAGCCCACCACTCACAATAATGGTATTGAATCAAATATGTCACATTCCTGCAAATGGTGCCGTTTCAACAAAGCATCCGTTGACATACACAGAAACAGGCGTATCGCTAAGATCGCTTCGTGAAACTGATCCAAGTATTGGAGACTTATTAACATAATTCAACAAACTTATTAGGGTGAAGCAATGGAAGTCGGTGACTAACCAGTAGATACAAAAACCAATAGACACGTCTCCGTGCCAAAGTCAATAAACACGTCTCCGTGCAAAAGCCAATAGACACGTCTCCATGTAAAAGCCGATAGACACGTCTCTGTGCAAAAGCCAATAGACACTTTTCCGTGTAAAGCCAATAGACACGTCTCCGTTTAAAAGCCGATAGACACGTCTCCGTGTAAACGCCAATAGACACATCTCCGTGTAAAAACCAAAGCACATGTCTCTGTGGAAAAGCCGATAGACACGTCTCCGTGTAAAAGCCAATAGACACGTGTCTCCGTGTAAATGCCAATAGACACGTCTCCGTGAAAACGCTAATAGACACGTCTCCGTGTAAAACCAAAGCACATGTCTCTGTGGAAAAGCCAATAGACACGTCTCCGTGTAAAAGCCAACAGACACGTCTCCATTTAAAAGCCGATAGACACGTCCCTGTGTAAAAGCCAATAGACACGTCTCCATGTAAAAGCCAATAGACACGTCTCCGT